GTTTCTCTCAAGCTTCTCTATTTTTTGGTTCCTGAGTTCCAAGGCTTTTACTTCTGGATTTATGTTTTGTACCAGCTACTTCACCGTTAAAACTCAAAGAAATATCCGCAAGTCTGCATTTGTGTCCACAACAACATCCACCAACCCTGACAGTCCACACAAAGGAGCATACTGGTCCTCACAGGGTAACAAATACACACACACAAACATGTGTTACATTATCCTTGTGGGGGCTTCCTGTTGACTTTCATTAATTTCCCATGCATGTCTATGGCAAACCCAGACCCTAAGCTTTACCATTACCAACACATGCCTAAACTAAACTAAACTTAATTCACAGCTTCGTCCTGAAGGGTTCTGCAGAACGATGACTCACTCTGTGGTTATTAAAGAGAGGAATGTGATTAAGTAGAAACGGCAGACATGCTTCCATCAAACAATCAAGTTTTTGCTTGCCTGAGGTGTCTTTTTTTTCTTTTTTGAAAAAGCATAAATGCGTTAAAGAGAGGATAAATCTGATGTTATGAATATTTACCTCTGCTGTTTCTGCTGGCATCCTGCACACAGCATCAGAATCACTTCCCTCCAGATGTCTATGGATGGCATGGGCCATCACTAATACTAGCTAACATGATCAAATAGGTACGATCAAAACATTGATTAAAACTTCATTCTCTCTGATCTGTGGTCCCCACTAGCTTTCTAACCCTTTCTTGTTTACTACAGCAAAGCGTAACATCAACATATGACATCATTGGCTCATTTTATCCATCCACTAGATGGACAGAGCTAATTGCAGGTCTATCAGGCTATAACAGTCTGTAGATGAAGCATGCAAACACAACTCTTTGTTAAACCCTGTAGATATCAATGTATGCATGCTACTCACACTACCAGGTTGTTTACCTGCTCAAGAAGCCGCTTGTCTTAAAATGACAGTATTAAAAAAAATGAATTAATGTTATTCAGTGACTAGAATCAGAGAAGCACCGGTAGACTGGAGGTCATCTGTCAATTATCCATTCAGCAGGTAAGCAATCGTCAGCTCTGGGCTGACCTTTTAGGAAGTGAGCAGTGGGCCCAATTAAACGCATCACAGCAAGTCAACCTAAAGCCGTTCAAAATGACTAATCATGCTCTAAATGGTTGTAAAATACCAAAACCTTTCAATGTGCAAATAGATCTAATAGCTGCTAAGGGGGTGTTTCTATCAACAGCACAGTGGTGATTTCTAAAACTTTCCTTACAGAAAGCTGTTTATTGAAATTATGTAAAAAAAAAAAAAAAAAAAAATCAGAAACATTTCTGAAAATATGAGCAAATACACAGTGACCAGTTCAAGGTTCATACCAATTCAAATTGGTTCTGTATGACCCAGTTAAACCAGCCAAACTTTAATACCAAAATCTGTATGGGCAGCTAATCCTCTAAATACAAGTTTGAAAAGTTAGAAAATTATCAAATAATTATTTGAAGTGTCAGATTTATGGGACTTTTATTTGAACAGTTGCTGTTTTAAAGATATTCATATGAGGAAAGCAGCTTAATTATTAATTGCAGCTAAACTACTGTTTGGAGCAAGCCAGCGAACATGTTTGATGGAAAACTTTCACATTTAATGTTATAAAACCTTGGTCAAATCTATTCTTTATGCATCTTCAGCTTCACCAAAATTCCACAGCCAAACTTGCTCTCAAAGTATTTTTAGACATTGAGGGGTAGATTGATCAGTCCCATTCCCAGTAACTGTGACAC